ATTGTGAACGGCTTTGGACACGCGAACTGTCATTTTACTTGAAATTTTCACATTTGAACCGCTATGGACAATATAACATACTCCTACATAGAACAAGAGATGGCATTTACGTAGCGTATAAACTTAAATAGCATCTGTTGCATAAACATTTGCACAAATTGATACATTTATTACAACCGAGTATCACAATGTATTTGAACGCGACTCGATTTAAGAAGCGCCATCTCTTTCACGCCAGGTTCTCATATATTTTTTTCTTGCAAATAAAATTGCAAAATTGTATAAATTGAATAAGTTTTGCAATAATAATAACGAAAATAATTAATAGAATTTATAATAAATAAAAAAAATTGAAAAAAACACACAAATATTTTATATTCTATGATATGTAGCTTTGCCTTGTAGACCATGTAAAGATGGTTACGTGGAGAAAATATGTATTTGTCAAACATTGATATCTGTCAAAAGAAACAACGTAAACAACACGAAGTGAAGCTATTCTGGTGAATCATATAATATAAAATATTTGTGTGTTTTTTCAATTTTTTTATTTATTATAAATTCTATTAATTATTTTCGTTAATATTATTGCAAAACTTATTCAATTTATACAATTTTGCAAGAAAAAAATATATGAGAACCTGGCGTGAAAGAGATGGCGCTTCTTAAATCGAGTCGCGTTGAAAGCCGACTGTAAGTGATACTCGATTACAACGCAATAACAAAAATAAATAAAGAGTCTTACAGGAGTAAGACGAACTTTTCCGCACGGTGGTAGATGCGTATTTTATTAAGCTATATATATTCGGCATCGAAATATTCTTTAATTTAATGGCAGAAGTACTCGCAAAAGATTTTTCACACTATCATGATGAAGTCATTTGTATGATATTTGAAAGTATTCTATTTTCTAACAAAGCGCTATAAAAATATGTCTGACGTTAATTTTGCCATAAAAATTATTTTTGAAACACTTTTCATAACTAAAGTCACAAAAAAATTTGGATTTTTGTATGGGAGCCGTGTCTGTTATACATTTTTTGAGCCAAATGAAAATTTTGTATAGGAGGTACCCCTAGTTTTAATTGAAATGTCTCCAAACCCTCCGAATGTTATTTTTTGGTGAAAAACATAACCTGTGCAAAGTTTCACGCCATTAAGGTAGCATACAGGCATGGCTCCCATACAAAAATTCAATTTTTTTGTGATTTTTTCAAAGAAACTGTATCAAAAATTGATTGTATCTCAAAACTAACCTCGGATTTTGTTTTCTCGTGCCCAAAAACCCCCCAATACATATTTTTGAGTGTTTAAGTCTACATTAAGTATGACTTTTGAACGAAAATTGGACTCTTTTTCATATGTATCACTCCAGACATGAAATTTTTTTCCATCAACCAAAGTCGCTCAAAATCTAATGAGCGCAATCTTGCTAACAAATTTTGCGTACGGCGTACAACGTACGACGTACAGATTAACAAAAACCATGTTTAAAACCGCCAAATTTGTGTTCTCTGACCTCAATAATAGGTAGAAAAAATGTTTCTGAAGTTTTCAAAATTTTGACCGATTACAATACTTTTCACCTTACACTATGTGTGCGGAAAAGTAAAATGAAAACCAATGCACATAGGAGACCTAACGGGACTCCTTCTCTACTGTCAAACACAATTTGCAAAAAAATTTCCATCCGCGATGGCGTCCAAATTGGATTTACGAAAAAGTGTCTCAAATGGTTTTGGACAGCTAAGTTCAAAATAAATTCTGCATGTGTCTAAAGATGAACCAATCTGTCTTCGAACCATGTATCGTGTTTCATGGACTTAGTATGAAGATGAGGCTTCTATAAAAAGCAAAAAGTCCGGTCGTATTCCCAATTTAAGTACTCAAACCTTTCAAAACTGCCATCAAGTGCCAAAAATTAATTAATCGGTTTATCACGATTGTGACACAAAAGTGAGGTTATGTCAACCAATTCATTTTTGTTGATTTAATATTTTTGAATATTGTGGACAGAAAATCTCACAAAATTAAAAAAAACAAAGATTTTTTATTTTCAAAAATGTAAAAAATTAAAATCTATTTATTTCTACTGTTTTAATTTAACAGTTTAACGCAGTTTAATCGATTCATTATGATTTTGCCAAACTGTGACGGCCATATTGTCACAAACTTCGATTAGTACTCGGAATACGCATTAGAGGTGTTGTTAGCTACGGGCATGATCAGGCTTCGTATTAATGTAATGCTAACATCTAACATTACAATTTCAATAGCAAATACCGGTAATGTCTTGTTACAAAAACAATGTGTTACCCGTATTGTTAAAAATCTAAAATTAATATTGAGACTTTTCAACACAACTTTAAGTTGAAAATATATTTACAATAGATGGAGCTTGTGTCTGCTCTAAGATCAGCATTGAAATTGATTGGGTTGATGAGAAATTTCAATGATTAGCTTAGAGCAGACACAGACGCCATCTATTGTAAATATATTTCCAACTTAAAGTTGTAGTGAAAAGTCTTATTATTAATGTTAGATTTTTGACATTAGCGGTAACGTTATAAGAATCGCAATAGCTATTACTGGTAATGACGTTACTGTAATGCTTCGTTACAATTGTAATGTGTTACTGCAAAATGTAAATCTGACGTCGACAAACCGAACTTTGATAAAGTGGTGTTTGTATGGTAGGATCTTCTTTGGAAGGTGTTTTAGAGCCATTATTCGAAAATTTATTGCTGAAACGTAATGGTTACTCCATTACTTCCTCTATTATCAACCAAATATTGTTGAAATCGATAGAATTCGTTGAGAACTGTCTGATTAAAGACAAAATTATGCTTTGCAAGCAGAAAAAACCACAATAATGGCTCACTTCTTGAAAAATAGCATTTCGATGAAAAAAGGACCATCTTTTTAACTTCAGAAAAAAACACCAAATTAATTATTTCTCGTCTGTTTTTGGATGTATGTTATAGGCGAAGGTCCAAAATACTTGAAACGTGCAACAATTGGTTCAACCAATTTGGTTGCATGGATTGAGAGAAAGTTGATAAAAATCGACAAATCGGTTGTCCAGAACATAGTTTTGATGGTTCAACTCATACTGAGAAAAATCGAAGACAATGGTCCATTCAGTTTAATATTGTGTATTTGTTTTTCAAATGGCGGACCTCTCATTTTGTGCCAATGTTTATGCAACAGATGTTATGTAAAGCGTAACATTATATTGTCACTAGAACACTGGAATTAACCACTATATTAGGCAGATGATACATATTAATTCCAAAACATAATCCAACAAATCTTAACAACAAATAACACCTAATTAGAGCTGTAGTTCGCTCCTTCTCTTTTTTACGGCAGATAAAATTGAATTTATAACACACAATCACAGAATATATAATCTTTTTGTGTAGATTCGTATCCCAAGCAAATGAAATGTTTTTTTTTTAAATTTACGAAAATTTTGCAAATGGGAAGTTTGTGTAGTATTGAAACTTTGAAAACTTACCTCAAAAAGTTTTACCACTTTTTTCCACGAATTTCCGGCGTCACA